CTGCCTGGAAATTTCAATTACTTTCCGTCTCATAATCTGCACATCTTCATACAGATTCTCACTGCTCAGCACTTGAACCTGGACATGAACTGCTAATCTTTGAATGAAATTCAAGTTAAACTGAAGATAATCTGGAGTGCCACCTGGATGCACTACCTGATCAAGCTGCAGTACCCCTACACAATACTGGGGAAAAGACAAGGAGAGAAATCTTAAGATTACACTAAAGAAAACAGAAGGAAAGTTGCTGCATTTGACCTGAACTGTATAAATCACTTCTAGGAACAGAACAAACTATTTATGGCAATTGCTGGCAAATCCCACAACTTCAATACCTAGACTACCGTTGTAAAGGATGACCATCACCTTTCCCGAAGCAAAACCCAAATTCAAATCTGTAAAGCTGCTCAAAAAGATGACATGTATTCCAGCCTCCCTCATTTTTCTGCCAGTAACCATACACATTCTGCTGTTAACAGTGAAACAGAAGAGTAGGGAGTCAAAAGAAAATTGTGAAAATATAGAACGTTAGGAAAATCAGAACCTGAATGCCACCATGATCTTTCTACATTATCAGTTGACTATTTTGTTTAATGCTCTCCCGAGGAAAATGCCACTGTGTACTTCTTTCTCAGGCTTCATATACAAAGGCTTTTGCCAGAAGCTCCCTGTCACCAAGACAGGATTTTTTTTTCAGCTACTTGAGTTGCATTTTGATCTAATATTCCTAGAACTACTGAACACAGTGTCTCCAAAGATGCAAGAATGCCAGTTGTTCTTGCTTCTGAATGGTATCAAGTAAGAGCGGTTGGTTACATAAACTAAGAAACTTTAAACAAAAGGGAACCACCAGCTGTGATTGCTTTAGAAACATTTCCGTCTGTTCCTGGGTAGAACCTGCTTAAGTTGTACCCACCTTCTGTGCTCTGCTATATCCACTTCTCATCTTATTTATTGCCAGTTTTGTTAGGGTTAACGTTCATACAAGTCAAACACTTGTTCATGATTTGTTTTTAAATAATCCCTTTATTACATCCTCTTCATTTTCCATTCAGTCATCTTTATTTTCCTGTCACTGCCAACCACTTGAGATTCTGCTTTGATTTATCTTGCAACGAGGGTTAAAACTCCTATTTCCCTTCATGTTGCTTTCATGCTCCTTTTCTACAAATGCCTCCATGTCAGTCACCTGGAGCAATATTCGTATCCTTATTAAACAGTCTTACAATTTTCTTATCTGGTTCCAACACCCTACCTCTCTGCCTATCTCTGTTAAGCACTTAAAACACCTCTGCCATCACTCTGAACTGAATTAAAATAAAATACATGGAATGAAAGTCCAGGGCAGAAGTTCCTTTGTGCCTCTTCCTCAGCCATAAAAGAAAACAAACACCCACAATACAATCTGTTGCAACTCCTCTATATGTAAAGTTTTGGCACCTCAGGTGCCTGCTCCCAAGCCTAAGCAAGCTTCCACAAAAACCTAACAAGGAACTGCAACTGTGGCTGATTGTTTACTTTCCTAATTCAATTTCTCACTGGAAACTTCAAAGTTCAATATTAAAATTAAGTTCTTTCAAGAAGTTCATTAAATTTTTTGGGGGGGAGGGACACAATCATTATTTCCATCCAATATATGTATCTCCAGAAACTATGCCTAGCTACAGTCATAACAACTACGTTACTACGTGCTCATAATTGATAAAAGGTAACAGAATTCCTTATAAGGGTTGAAAGAATCAGACAAATGAAACACAGTACTGACAAGCTGATTAATCTTTTCAATCCTTTACTACCAGGAATTTCGTTATGTCAGCACAACACCTATTTGCCAGTAATAGATACAACCACCCTTAATTTTCCATTTGGAGAACACAAGCTACTGAACTTTTGTGTTTGGATGCTAATTTCAGTGTTCAATATTAACTTCTAATTGAAACACCTCTGAAACAGGAATTTAGGATTTAGTATTATCATGCCTAACAGGGGAAAAAAAAAAAAAAAAAAAAGCGTGGATGCCAAGAATCCAAGACATTTCTACGCATATGGCAACTATAGAAGCCTCCATTCAGAGGGAATGAAATTCCCTCAGGTGTCTATATTTAGGATCAAAGAACTTTTTAAAATACAGAACTCGGAGTCTCCAAGGGATAAAAACTACAAAACTGTCTGTAGTGAACTTTATTTAACCTAAGGTTTTGTGCCAACTTAAATACACTGCAGCTCTCCACTTGAAAGAAGGCATTACCCACTGCGTGTTCTGAAATGCATGGAAAAGCCATTACAGGGATAATCAACAGAACTATAAAATAGAAAAGCAATAAAATGACAAAACCAGATACAACTCAAATAGCTTACTTTTCAATTCAGTCAAGCAGTGTTACTTTTAAAGTGATGATTATAGTATTAAAGTTCACTTATCCATCTACTCACACCTTAAAAGCTAACTCATCTTAAAATCTAGGATAGATTTTTATTTAAGATGCTTTAAAAGTCACATACTCAAAACAACCAAAATGGGTATTTTTCCCAGCCATCAGTTTCTATGCAGAACACAGGGTCATCTAGTATTCAGCTGCATTGATTATCAGCTCCACAGAATAAGCCGCAAAGATGAGGACCTCTATGGCACAGCTGAATCAGGTGAAGAGTTATGCAGTGAAAATGTACTTTAAAATACTTTCCCTACAGAGAGCACCGTTAGCAAGATGAAAATGATCTATTGTTTCAGTCAGGTTTTTCTTGAGTAATTGGAATCCTCCCTCCACCCCCATTTTTTTTCCTTTACCAAAACTTCACATATCCTAGACACAATCATAAGGCATATACATGATAGTAGAAAGACAAAGTTCTACATTGTACCATGTACATAATGTGTCACAAATTGTACTTGAAATGTTTTTTTTATATACATGGACACTCCTGACTTAGTTTTCTAGCAGATTTAGATGCCTAAAAGCAGTGCAACATATAGGGAAGAATTTATCCTGATTATTTGAGCCTTTTTTACTGTGATCTTCTCTGTAGCAGAATTCAGATGCATCCTTTGGAAAAGAGGATTCATCAAGGAATTCCATAACGTACTATTAAGCCTTCCTAAAAGATATAATTCTCTCCTTGCTCTGAAAGGACAAATACATAATCCATATAAAAAGTTTTTAAAAGGGAACTGTGTGAGACTTGCATCACAGACGTTTCGGATATATCAAGGAGAAAGAAAAAAAAATACCTGGGAAGACAGATAAATAGTACATGGGGTGATTTTCAAAGGTATAAATGGGAAGCAGGCACTCAGCTCCTGTTGAATTTTGAAAGGAGTTCAGCATCCAACTGCCCTTCTGCCTTTGAAAATCTTCCTTCACAAAACCCTTGGTTACAAATGACTCCAAAGTTCAAAGAATGACCTTGCCCTTGTGGGAAATGTAGGAAGGCTCGTGCCTTTTAAAGAAAGATTTATGAGACTGTTGCTGCAGATGTGACTGCAATGAGGAAACAACACTTTATAGAAAGGAAACTCTAAAGAAACTTACTCTATTGGGTGGAGTGGATGGGTCACAAGAGACTAGAACCACAAGTAGAAAGTATGGACAAAAATACTTATTTGCACAGATGGATACTGCCTTACAGAAGCTCAGTAAGTCTTCTACAGATTGCTTGGATAAGCTTGTATTTGCAGTGCTGATGAAGACAGGAATATCAACACATGGTATTTTGTCTGAATTTCTTGAAATTGTCCCAAATGGGCTAATGCTGGCCACAAGATAATTATGATATACAAGGTGGATGTCACCTTTCCTCATGGTTCAACTATCTGGGTTAGATATGCTCACAACTATGCACTTGGTGATGGACTGGGGATCTCTATGGCAGTTTAACTAGGTTTGAGAACTTTAGTCCTGAGCCATCTGTAATTATGCAAGCTCTACATTTCACCTTTCTCATCTTCTGAATTACCTTTTCCCACTAATATGGGGAAAAAAGTAGGTCTCCTTGTATACAGATAAGTGGAATAGGCTGTGAAAGGATGAACCATGATAATACACACGGACAAACCTACCAGTTTGGAAAATAAAAATAATAGGAAGTAAAGAATTTTCACAAAAACAAATTTTAACAACACGTCCTTAGGTGTCTCCTTCTTAGGTGGAGAAAGGATTATTCCAATTCTACCCATGATCACAAAGTTCATTCACAGTACACGTTGACACACTGTGTACGTAATGAGAATATTTCATGATTTTTTTTATCCAAACAAACATATGTTTGTTCAGTATCAAGCACAGTATCAACTATGATCAAAACCACTGCCTATTTTCGGCTGCTGTGTCAGATCATACCTCTCTCAGGCACTGAAGATAGTTATTTTCACTGATAACACTGATACAATTGAATTCCCTCAATCCAGTCATTATCAGAAGAACAAAAGAACATTCACCATGCAGAGACTTTGGAATTAAACTAAAGATAAATGCACAGCAATCCGGGAATTCCTTAGTTTGGTGCGATGTGGCATAGAAAAAAACCCCCGAACTCAGGCATTAGCATAATAATTGACATTCACATCAGCTTTTAAAAAACAAAAGTTAACAGCTCCTGTTATACTAAATAAACCTTTAAATACTCCAAATTTCTCTAGTGTTCTCTCTATATAAATTCTATACATAACATAATATAACTTTGTTCATTTGCACATAGGAGATGATGACACACTTGAGCAACATTTTAGTTCTCACTTTGGTTAACTACTGCATTCAATTTGCAAAAAATATGTATATCAATAATAAAGCCTTGAGTGCTTTCATTGACTCCTGCAGGGTTTCTGGCATCCCTGCAGTGTATATATAAAGCATTTAAAAAAAAAAAATCTACACTACAAACACAATTTTTACAAAACAAACAGGACATATAGCTATTTAGAGATGGTCAATAATTCTATTTGACTTGTTTCCTAACTATTTTTTGCTTATTGTTTTAGCAGACTTCAATATCATAATAATTACCTTTGCGGCAGAGTTTGATACTCCATGTGTGACATTTCTTATGAGACCACCAACATTGCCGTATTTTATAAGTCCAGTAACACCTTCTGAAACATCATTCAAAAGACCCATAGGGTTGCCAAGGAAATCCACAGAACCTAGAATCCTTGCTGCCTGACTAAGCAGCTCCTGTAAAATCAACAGGAATAATGAAACATCACTTATGGATCACATTAACACCAGCAAGGTTGATTAAAAGGGGAAAAAAAAAAAGTCCCACCCACAGCAAAAGCATATACAAAACTAGATAGTTTTACTGAAGAAATGAACACAGAAATACCAGTAAGATCAACAATATTTTCATCTTAAAATTCAGTGCATTCTTAGAAGCACGTGATGCTATTTCTCCACACACCAAAGAAGCAATACAGCACTAACGCTTAAGTACATGGTCAAGAAAGAGTTCCCGCACCCTCAGTAGAGAACTTGTCAATCAAGAGAAGTTCAGCCTTTGCCACAGTAAAATCTGTATGACACTTACCTCTTGAAAGTGTTTCAGAATGTCATTCATGATAAACTCCTGAGTTTCATATGGATGGACCCTAGTGAAAGGATCCAGATTAATCACAGCATCTTCAAATCGGATTAGAGGAAATCCCAGCGTGCTTTTCAGTGCCTAATTAAATAAAAGATATTACTACTTTAATTTTCATCTCTACTTGTCATACACAGCACCCAAATGAATAAATCTTTAAATGGGTAACACAAAATTATCTGAAGCGGCTAGAGTAGTTTGCCACTGCCATGTAGATGCTTTGATACAGAGGGCAATCACTCCATAAACCTTTTACTTGTAAGCAATGATCAATTATTAGAACTGCATTTCTTCAATAACTAGATAGTCATTAAACACCCCCCCAATGCAATCTGTTTCCTACAGTCGATAGGAATATTTAAAAACAAAATGTGTTTAAGATTTCATGCTTAGCACTTTGCTATAATTGATCTAATATTCAGTTAAACTGAACCCTAAATTAATTTCCTTCATACTTAGTGAGGACAAAACTGGGTATTTTCCACCCTGCTGAAGTTTTATGAAGGGATTAAATGTCAGGATGAGCTGGAACAACATACATAATTTCCTGCAAGCCTGAGGCTCATTTCTTAACGTTATGTGGTGTACTGAAATTCTTTAAACCAGCTTTTTCAATTATTTTCAAGGAAGAAAACTAAGACAGTAATTAGCCCATGGGCCATCTGTAACCTGTACAATCTATACATTAAAAAAACATATTTAAGGTGGACAAGCTATACATCTATATATACATACACATAAATAAAATAATTTTGGAAAAATTTTACAAGAAAACTAATCTTTTATGAAAGAGATCCCTTCTATTTCAGGTCTTGATGAGGGCATCTGCACAGTCACCAACATCAGAAAATGTGAAGAAAGCAAGAAGCCTGATACTCCTGTTATATCATTCTACATTGATCACTAAGCACACTTGGTAGTAAGTAATATGAGTTTTTCTGCCATCTGCAGGCAATTAAGGTAAATTACAGGTCTGATTTAAATTTGCAAGTAAGAAAGGACCTATTTATTTTTTCAGTAAATGGATGACTAACTAGAGTAGTCCTCATTATTCACTTGGGTAGGAAGTAATTTCCTGTTTAAGTATCAGATATTATAGAAGGCAACTTTGTTAATACTGGTACCTAATAAAAATAATCTGTCTACACCAAATTACCAGACAGCAATGTCCAAGCCAGAAACATTAAAGGTAGTTAGAACAACTTCTACAAAGGCTCTACTGTGATTTCTCTCTTCCCTCCTACCCTGAACTCTCCTGTGCTACAAAACTGAATGGAACTCTTTCTGTGAAAGTTCACATACAGAATACAGCCAGTAACTGTTATCATTGGGGGGGGGAATGTATACACCAAGTTTTCTCTTGGGAACAATGCCGGCAGCTGCCAAGATATATCCATATGCAATCATATACCAAAGGTGGTAGGAAATCCAAACAGAACAGTGAACATTAATAGTTTCTTAAAGGCACTCACCACTAACACTGTTTTCTCTCTCTAAATTTGAGATAATCAGATGATAAGCATTTTCGTGTTGAAGCTAAAGTGCAAACACATTCAAGACACTGCTGATGATGTTGAACGGTGAGGAATATTACAGCTAGCTATTGAGTTGTCCTCCTTTGCACAAGGATTTGGTAAAAGCAATACAAGAATGCATGACTGATGATATTCTGGTAGGACTCTATGGTATACGCTCATTCCACTAAACTTCTTTAAAAGCTTGCACATCTTAATGTCCATAATATCAAGGGCACAAAAAAGCCTGGTCAGTGTCTCAATTTTGTTTTTTGAGCACACAAGTCAAACAGGCAGCAGCTCAGTTCCTCCACAGTGGGGAGGATTTTTTAATCGTTTGGTTGGTTGGTTTTTGTCCTGGTTTCAGCTGGGATGTAGTTAACTGTCTTCCTAGTAGCTGGTACAGCGCTGTGTTTTGAGTTCAGTATGTGAAGAATGTTGATGACACTGATGTTTTCAGTTGTTGCTCAGTAGTGTTTAGACTAAAGTCAAGGATTTTTCAGCTTCTCATGCCCAGCCAGGGCACCTGACCCAAACTGGCCAACAGTGTATTCCATACCATGGGACGTCCCATCTAGTTTAGGAACTGGGAAGTGGGGGGCAGGGAATCGCCACTCGGGGACGGGCTGGGTGTCAGTCGGCAGGTGGTGAGCAATTGCCCTGCGCATCATTTGTACATTCCAATCCTTTTATTACTACTGTTGGCATTTTATTAGTGTTATCATTATCATTGTTAGTTTCTTCTTTTCTGTTCTATTAAACCGTTCTTATCTCAACCCACGAGTTTTACTTCTTTTCCCGATTTTCTCCCCCATCCCACTGGATGGGGGGGGAGTGAGTGAGCGGCTGCGTGGTGCTTAGTTGCTGGCTGGGGTTAAACCACAACAGTTTTGTTTCAACGTGCCCACGCTGGAGGAAATCAGTTGTATTAGCTCAGAGGGAACTGCAATATTGCTAACTATTACCACCTTATTATACCTAGGAAGGTCCCCACACATAAGCTGGGAACACTAGATGAGATTACCTTCTTGCTATAATTTAGGATCCCTGGTTCACTTTAACAACTGTGCCAAAACATTTATTAACCACATGAAATGGACCAGATTTTCCACCTAAGTTCACACTCAATCTGAATTCACAATAGTATTGAACCAAAATGCACAGTGCTCATGCAAACCCTCCGACTCCAGTAAGATAACGTTTTTTGGATGAAAACACTCAGAGCTGTCCTGTATTTCTGCTCCTTACATCGAGTAACTTCTTTTCTTAACCCTCACCTCAGCCCTCCCACAGGATGGTCACCCCATTTAAGCTCTTGACACTACCATTAACGTAACCAAGAACCTTTGTAAAGTAGTGAGTTACTAGGTGAAGTTGGCTGTGCTTCAACTAAAATTACAAAAAAGAAAGAATATTACAGAAGAGACTGGAAATTATGCAAATTAAATCACAGAAGTTATTGGAACTTCTATTATTTGTAACTTACATAATGGAAGAGTAAATAGAAATTAACAGCAATAAGTTAAGGCTTCTGTTCCCTTTTCTTCCTCCCATAGAACCTCTTTACTTGGAAGCATATTCTGTGAATGCATTGGCATACCTTGAGATCCAAAGGTAGCTTGTTGGAAGTGAAGACACTCAGCTTTATTTGAGGCACGCTAATTTTCAGATTTTCAAAGTAGTATCGCTTTTGTCCTCCACCTTGTTCAACAACCTTTTCATGGAGGTTTTCATCATACTTTTCAACCTCTTCATCCAGACAAAACATAGGGATCAGAATAGAGTATATGTAAGCAAATATGGGTTTATGAATGCATACTCTGTAAAGAGTTAATAGTTTCTCAGTACAAATAAAAAGTATGTGCAATGCTTATGTAGCCAGCAAAATTACTCATGCCTTGTGACATGAAGTTGACCTTTGAGGCTCGAGAATTTTTTTTCAGATCTGCCTGCATCTCTAAAACCTGAATGTATTTATAGCTAGATAAAAAAAAAGCTCATCCAAGTGCATAGTTTAAGTTATTTGAGCTTTTAATCTCCCTTCTAATTTATCTTTGTCAGCATACAGAAACAAGGAGATACAAACAACTATGCAATGTTTCCTACTGCGTAGTCATAGTCTCTCTCTACTTTCTTTATAATTCCTTACACGCTCAACTATCAGTATAATGTACAAGGCAAGCAAAGCTGACAATCCTTCCAATTATCACTACAGAATGGACAAAATGCCTACATGGAAGACATTCAGTACATCAGTTTATGTACAGAGTGAGCCAAATTTAGTTGACACTAACAGGTTCATATGTTGTTTGTAAGAGCATCTTGATGGTGTGAGAAGGCAGGGGGAAAGAGGAAAGATGACAAAGTCTTATGAACTCAGGTTGAACAATTAAACATGTTGAATGCAAATGACAATAATTTTTGTCCGAATCTTGGATGACATCATCAGCATCAGTGGATAAACTACAAAGAGCATACAGTTAAATAAGGAAACAAAAAACCAGCAAAAGCATCAAGGTAAACCAAAACAAAGGACAGAGTAGCGAACAGTGTAAGAGCAGAACTCAAAATCTTTATTTCTTCTTCATCACTACAAACCTAAGTCTAAGTCCTTTGTGAAACCAGGAAACGTAATACTCCTGTTTTTTCAGAGACAATTCACAAGATACTGTGGATTAGCAAGACACAGAACACTTGAGCATCATTGGTAGGTTTGCCCTCATTTGGAATCATGCCAAAAATAGTTTTTTTTCCTGCAAGTTATTTTATTATATAACCCTACACACTCTACTGCATAATAAAAATGACTTTTTCAACTGCCACTCCAAAACAGACATTTCAGAAAGTTTCTGAAGTACAGATAAACCCTACAATAGAAGGATTAGAACAACATCTATGAGATTAGAAGATTCAATAGCTCTGTCTTGCCTCACTGAATGAGGAAAACTTACATTACGATTAAAGCCAGGGGTATGGATGTCACAACTAAAAGGTCAGACAGCCAAAGTTTTCCTTCAGTTAAGCAAGAGGAACTGCCCAAGGAACAAATGAACAGACATCCCATTTCTGCCTTGGCTTTAAATAAACAAACAGTACTAAACAAAGTGGTTTGCTAAATTAAAAACACAATTCCTTTTATCCCAATTTAGATCAATCCAGATACAGGAACTTAAGATGATTACTAAACTCCTTCCCATAGAGGCTCAGCTCAGCCACTGTGTACTGGACAACAGCATGTTACATGGGTCATTACCTGAATACTGTAACAAGCACAATATACATGGAACAGCTTTATAAGGGCCATTGAGACATCAGCTTTCTGTTCAACAGTAGAAGGCTTCCAAGCAGCTAAGTTTGCTAGGCGTTTGAACTTACTTCATATGCAACGATCATAATACCTCTGTACACTGTAAAACTGATCTTTGTAACTTTATACTATACCTGATTCAGACTGATCATAGCCAAAGAAACTCAACAGCTTCAGAAGTAGTTTCTCCTCAATTTGAACTGTGAACTTTCGAGCAGTGATCATCAGATGCTACAAAGATAAGCAAGTCTCAGTTTACAGTATTAACACCTAAAATATAATCCATGTAAGCCATTAAATAGGACAATGTGTTCTATTTCAACAGAATATTTTCACTGGAATAGACTTGCAGTGAAATTCCCACCTTCAAAACATCTTCGGTAGTTTTCTTCACTTAAAGTTATCTACAACTAGTGATGACTGTTTCAATTTTTTTGGAAAGTGTTGTGCTTCATTACCTAATACTAACACTTCAGAATCTGACGCTTAGCTGTTTTCCAACACCGAAATCGGCTGTTTTGAAAAACAGCATCAGAATACAAGGGTAAAGATTCCAAGTGAGAAAATAGGTCTTGATAACCAACTCAGTTTTGCCCTCACAATGCATACCACAGTTGGTGGATAAATTTCCAAACAACATTTCCAAACAGCTGCAGTACACAGAACAGGGTATGTCCTGCAAGATAAAAGCTTATCAGAGAGAAGTAATAACCTTGTACACAACTCATGAAAAGCATAGCATAGATTTGCTGGTTCACCACGCTACAATGGTACCCATCAATTCTGAGGGGAGAATAACTGGATTGAGAAGCAAGGCCACAGACACAAACAAACAGGGGTCTAGCCTAATTTGTTGTATTTTAAAACATATTTATTATCCTGTTCATCACTGTACTGTAGCTTTAAACACTATGAACATGAGAAGGTGGATATAGCATCCTTTAAGCCTCAGTATTAATTCAACAAAGAGTATTTCACTCGTTAGTGAAATTCAGATTACTAGTAAAAATTAGGAACAGGAAAGGTCATTTGAACAGATTAATACATGCATGGCACAATCAAAACATTGCAGTTTACCTTGTATATATCAGTCAGTGCGTTTTTACTGGGAAATTTCATTGCATTTACTTGCACAGCAGGACCAGTCTCCACAGGTTCATTTTCACTCATCTTAGGTGTCAGAAAGAGCATAAATGGCTGTGTGGTGCCAATAAGCTGGTTGTCCACCTACAGAGTGGACAAGACAGACAACAAAATCTCAATATGTGACAATAAACAGCATAACTGATCCTCTTTAACTGAGGACTTAAAAGCTGTCAGAAATACATGGTCCTCGAGCCAGGGAGATACTGAATATACTTGGTTATTGATCACCAGTGAGATCATACCAAAAAAATACAAGCGTCCTCCATTTAAAAAAGCAGTTATAGCTACCAATAAAATACCTAGAACAAAATTGCTATGTTCTCTGTGTTTTTTTTCTTTTTTCAAAAAACATAGCCAAAAATACTAAACAACAGCAGAGTCAATCTACTGCATTTAAGTTTGATTGATGCCTCTAAGTATCCATTTATCTTCTGTAATCTACATCAGTATCCACAACTCCCCTTCCAAGGAAATCTTACATATTGGGAGCAGAATTCTAATAATTTAGAGGAACTTAGTAGTAGAATAAAAACCTGAAGACTATAAAAACTGTTAACTTCTGAATTTCAAAGACTGAACTGAAAACAAAGGTTAAGGCAAAACTCTGCAAAGCCAAAAACATATACTGCGGTACTACCAGCATTAGGACTCCTGCTTTCAATGGCTGCTTTTTCATTATATAATGACAAAGAACCAAGAACTAGGAAGGGAGAAAAATCTTAATCTGACCTGTTTACAAAATAAAAAAGATTCTAACTTGCCTAACAGAAATCAACGGCATAAATATATCACTGTATCAACTATTACTAAGCAGAGAACAATGAAAAGCAAACATCGATGCTAATCAAAACTTCTATGATATTTAGGAATTGAAATCTCAGTAACAGCTCTAAACATTTTTCAAACCTATTATGACAACAAAAACCACAAGAGACCTATGAACAAATTTTTTTCAAAATGGCAAATACCTGTATGTCTTGCACACTGAGCTCTAGCACCTGACTTGTCGACAGTTGTGTGTAGTGGATATTAATTCTTGTGAGGCTTGCAAATATTAGCTCTTCAGGAACTTTGTTGACCAAAGACAATCCTATTCCACCTTCCAGTTTCACAAGCACCTGAGAACAAAAAATATTTGAAGGAGGAAAAAACCCCACTACTAACAAACCAACACTGAAAAAACCCATGATACTGAATATATACTTCTGCAAAGAAGTTATTTTTTTTAGACTCATCTCCAGAGAGGCTGAACAGCTTATTAACAATTAGTCTTCGAATAAAGAGGTGTTAAGACATATAAACCCAACTGCTAAGAATGAGGAGTTTTAGCAGGAAAATCTACAAGTTCATAACAAGAGGTCATCATAGGGAAAAGTTAATGACCAACTTCCCCAGCCCCCCTCCCAAAATATAGAAAGGAAAATGATAAATAAGAGACAGATACTAGTTACAATATCTTACTTCTAATTCCTGCTCTGTATCTGGATTTTTTAACTTGCGTAGATCTTGTTCCGTAACTGGAAGTTCATCTCCTTCACTGGATAAACGATCATTTCTACGTTGGTTAAAATCCGTTATCTGATAAACAAATACATTACTACAATGATCACTTTCCTATTTATAAATAACAGCTATATTGTCCTACCTTATAAAGTTATCTTTTTAAAAAAATAAATACAATGAAAACTTTTGTTGTAATTATTTCTGTTTTATGATATTCCCCTCCCCTTGCATATCATTATAAAGGTAACTTTTTGTAAGAATTTAGAGATGCAATATAGAAAAAGGTGTTTCAAGTACAAGCAAATAATAAAACTAGATTCTAGTTAATGAAGGACTTTCACCTGCAGAACTCTAGTTGGCCCATCTGGGATGACTCTAACAGCTAGTACTCCTGACCCAGGCCTCATCTTTTGGTTTATGAACTGCTGCTCAGGTGGAACTGGCCCCAAAAGTTCAAGTGAAGTATCAGGACCAAGAACAACTTCTGCTCCATCATGAAGACCTAGTATTCCTCCCTTTGCCTGGAGAAAGAAAGAAGAGTAAGGAAAAAAAAATTGATAGGTAAAGGCTTCAGATAACTGTTTACATGCATTAGTTTAAAAGTGTATTTTACTTTCCTCTCCTTACTCTTCAGAACTAAAAGAAAAGTACTCCAGCAGCATTTTACTTGGTATTACTAAAGCTTCTGGTAGCTCATGTTTAACCAGCTCGGCAGCTAGAAGAAACAGCCAAGATTAATAATTAAAGTATTCCCACTGGATGTTCAGAAACTGAAGCTATCATTATCATGATCAAACATGGGAAGTCCTTCCTGAAAATATTTTCAAAATGATAGAAAGCTTTCTAAAAGATCAACTCTGGATCTGCAGATGAGAACGTGAATCCTTACTGAGTCAACATCTTCAAACAGCAATGCAGGGCTTTTTTGGCTGCTTCAGAGTGACAAGTATTAAGTTACTAAGCTACAGTAATCTGATCACAAAATGATCAATGCAAAATCATGGGACTAAGTCAAATATTCTTCTCTAGATCTGTTTTTTGGTATTAGAATTGAAACATAGCATCAAAGGTGGCAAAGGAACACTACATTGCTGCTATCCTTACTGTATCTATTCTGGAGGCTGGAATCCTCTCTTACGGCTACTACATTCCTTTAAAATTAATCAGACTAGAACTACAAATACAGTCTTAAAAGGTTATTGTGAAGCTTTAGGAGTATTTTCCATACTTTTTCTTCTTTGCTTACATCAGAACAAGCATCTGAAACTTCAAAATCAGTTTTGGCAGGGTATTTCTAGTTTCACAGATGACATACATACGGTTCTGCTATTACAGAGTGAGCAAAATGACCGAGATGCTGGTTTTCTGTCATTCCTGTCCTGTTTTAAAATGAAGAAATAACCGAAGCACACATTTTTGGGGGAAAAAAACTCAAACAAAACCCCAACAAATTACAAGGAATTTAGAAACAAGAAAAGAAAGGGGGCAGAAGGGGGCGATATCCCCAACAGAACATGATAGTATCCTGTCTGCAGGATTTTCAAAGTGATGTTATCAGTTTGTACCTTACAGATCCATTCCAGATTTATTGTGCACATAAAAGACTCCCTTTCATCACAGAGCTAACATATTCCCTATGACGGTACTTTTTCCACTGAATTGAGGTTGATTTCCATTGACATAGCTAGCACAATTTATTTTTCAAAATAAAACATTAGAAATAACATTATTTATTACAAACATAATTGCTATTTCAACAGTATGCAGGGTAATTTAAATTTGTTTGTAAACAAACAGTTCAAACTGCTTTTAAAATTCTTATTACTAAAATGTTAGCAGCATGATTCTGAGAAGTGCTTGGTTATACACAAATCTTGACTTTCATAAGTGACATTAATTGACACAACCTGCAGCATTTTCACATTTGGCATGTGTGAGACTATCAAGGCTCTATTTATCACTACACTGTTCATTTTCAACGATGATGTCCTATTAATTTTCTAATTATTTACTCTCAAATTAATAGTGCAAGATGTCTAATTATTTGAAATTGATAAGAACATTCAAACATGAATTTAAGCCACACAAGCTGTTTGTGCAAGTCTGGTTTCCTCTGTATTCTGAACTTTGGCCTCAAAGCTTTTTTGTTCACTTCAATATTAAGCCTAAATGACTTTGTCATCTGTATCAGCAACAGTCAAAACAAGTTCAACATATAATCAGTACTGACCTGGACAACAAGTCCGTGAATACCACAGGTCAGCTTTCCGTCACGAAAACTCCACGTCTGCGTAGTACTGCGCCGTCGATCAGGCTTTCTCAACATCAGGGGCTCGTACCTGCAGCAAAAGCATGCCACCCAGTACTTAAAGGATTAGAACTTGTCAGTTTTACTCTGGAGATGTATTAATGGCAAACATTTACTCTAATTTTGTTCAAGCTCATTCTCCTAATCTTACTTCTGAAATGCTCTTTTAACAATCTGCTGCTGAAAATACATTAGCCATGCTTTTAAAAATATTTCCAAGGCACAAAAGTGATCATGAGGTCTGTTCACGAAGACAGATAATATCTAGCTCTTCCACATGCCTTCAGAATAATTTATTTTCTTATTCAGAGAATATCATGTTAAGTATGCTTTCAAAGACATGGTTATAATCAGTTTCCTGAGAAACTGTATTTGCAATACCTGTTATCTGTGACAGCTGCCAGGCCGGCAATATCTAAAATCATGCAAGAGTCCACAGACCGAGGAGAAGGTTTATGGGGGTTATGAGGAACTGAAGAACCTTCATGACAAAGCATTCCTGTGCCCGTCATTCTCCAAAGCTGGGATCGTTTTCCTGGCTCCTGTTGCATAAAACCTCAACATTTAAATGAACACAACAGTACAGAGCAAGTATTTCTGTTCCATTTTGCTATCAGATGCTTTGAATTATAATTCTTGGAATGACTTGTATAGATTTACCTTCAGAGCCCTGAATTGAAATTAGGAACTAGTTTGTACAAAAAACTTCTAATTCAACTCTGTATTCAATGAATATGCATCCTACATTAGCACTGTTAGATGAGAGCTGTATTTACAAGCTATTTTTCATCTCAGCAATATTTAAGTACAGTTTCTATTTCTTAAGAGCTCCAGAAACAGAAGACTTAGCTTACAATGCAATCAAAAAGGAAGCAGGCCCTACCTTGTAACTTCATTAGAATGTCCAATATACAATTACCACACTTGGTTGTCTTAGAGGCATTTACAATGTTCGTTACTACTACTTTTACTCCAATTCCCTTTTCTGTCACCCTTACCCCCATAAAAGTCTTAAATGGAAGCACCACCATAATTCAAGCAAACTGAATTGCAATAACCTGTCGCTTTCAATGGAGTCTGTCTCCACTCTTTAAAAGTTACCATAAAAATGTTTTTATTTTTTCATTCTCCCAGCATATGATTTTACTTCGGCACATAGCAACAGCATTTTAATAAAATCAAATGTGTCTTGGTACCTTCTTTTTCAGGACTACTCGTTGAGTCTTTGGAGAAACATCAAGGACAAGCTCTGCATATGCAGCATCCTTATTCGAAGCAACAGGTCTTACACTTGGCTCCTGTAAACTAGAACACCGAGAAAACATCATCATGTTTATTCAGAGTAGCTGCTTCTTCTGTAGAATAAATTAGATCTGTACCAAAATCCAATCAGGGAAGCTTATACTTCCAATATAGCCAATCAAACAATAATTTATGTTGGGTTTTTTCTCCTCTTGTTATTTTTGGAGTTACCAGTGTAAGCTGTCAATTTGAGTACATTCTTAAAAGGGACTTTGATTTCTCACTGTGACTAGGAACTTCACAGGCAAAGCAGAAGAATTCCCAAGAAAATTTTCTAATGAGGAAAGCAACAAAGCATTTTCAATCTCCCATAGCTGTTTTCAATAGCATATAAACTAGTACAAGTTTAAAATTCATAGGCATGTCATAAATAGGTATGTCCTGTAATCAAGTGTTCTTTATACACCAAATGAAATTAAGCCCCCAGACATGACCCTAAACATCCCTGCTCTTCTATGATCAGACAGTGGGGTCACAGCAGATGGCACATGCGAAATCTTTCTCACTACGTGATAAAATAAACAATGGCAAGCTGCACCTATAAAGGTAAGTTACCATGACCAAATGAGGTAAGATACACAGCTTACCGACTGCCAGACTCAACTTCTGAATTTTGGTATTTCTTCTGCTAGCTACAAGGTTGACAAAAGTTTAGCTGCATTTGAAAAACTTTCAAATGGCAACCATTGAAAGAATATTAATGTAAAGCCTAAAGAACACCATGAATATACAAAGTATTTTCATCTAATATATAAAGAATTACCCTGAGAAAGTGTATGTGGCAGCAATATAAATGAAATTTTCATAGTAAAGCTGCTTGCTATCTTGGAAGTCATTCATGCTACAGATGATTTCTGAGGAGCCTGCTCCTTTAACTGTCAGCATTATAAAAGGTGGTAGAATAGGTTCATCCCATGCATAATCCAGGGAAGTCATGGGCTTCACTTCAGTGTACAGCCTTGGCTCAACAACACCGTGCTGATTAAAAACAATTGGGACCTGTAACAGTTACAAAAGAGGATTTGGTTTCACAGAGAAATTGTTGATCAGACAGATTTTTTTGCTATCATTTGTTAATTTTTCAGGAGTTGATCACTGAAACATGTTCAGCTCACTTCCTTCCCTCCCCCTCAAATGGTTTCATATGCATTTTCTTCCATTCGGGTCTGTCCTGGTTTCAGCTGGGATATAGTTAACTGTCTTCCTGGTAGCTGGTACAGTGCTATGTTTTGAGTTCAGTATGTGAAGAATGTTGATAACACTGATGTTTTCAGTTGTTGCTCAGTAGTGTTTAGACTATAGTCAAGGATTTTTCAGCTTCTCATGCCCAGCCAGGGCACCTGACCCAAACTGGCCAACGGTGTATTCCATACCATGTGACGTCCCATCTAGTTTAGGAACTGGGAAGTGGGGGTGGGGAATCGTCGCTCGGGGACTGGCTGGGTGTCAGTCAGCGGGGGGTGAGCAAGTGCCCTGCGCATCATTTGTACATTCCAATCCTTTTATTACTACTGTTGGCATTTTATTAGTGTTATCATTATCATTATTAGTTTCTTCTTTTCTGTTCTATTAAACCGTTCTTATCTCAACCCACGAGTTTTACTTCTTTTCCTGATTTTCTCCCCCATCCCACTGCATGGGGGGGGAGTGAGTGAGCTGCTGCGTGGTGCTTAGTTGCTGGCTGGGGTTAAACCACGACAGGGTCTCAATTAAAGACAGTCTCAAAACGATGAGAAATGTCATCTTTACTTTTATCTGTCATCCATGGTTCAAAATGTTTTTAGTCCCACAGCAGTATCTCAAACCCTCCTAATCAAAATTTGGAGACTTGCCCAGTTCAGTACCAAAATCCAGAACGAGAACCAGCAAGTATCAAGAGCTCTGTCTACTGGTCTGATTACAAGTCAGTAAGTTACTGTAAAATATGCAAAGTAAATTCTCTGATTTTTATAATCACTGACATGGAAGCCCAAAGACAGAGAGAAAGGAAGTGGCAGAAGTAGCTCAAATTCTTTTTACAGGTTATTCAAGTGCTAAAAATAACACAGAACAGATTACAAACTATCACCCTAACATGATTTTCTCATCAGTAATAATGCTCTTCCTTTCAATTCACTTACAAAAGCCACAATGTTAGCACCATCATTTGAACAAGATGAAGTAGTTAAGTACTACCAAGTTTTACTAAAACTTCAGAAAATTACAATTATTATACAGAAATACCTCTTGCTACACATACTTACATTTTATTTCATTACACAAGCTAGTCAGCTCCGGCTTCTAACAAATATAAAAGAACTCATACTTTTCTTTTTTAACAAAAAATAAAAGAAAAAATATGATTTTTTGCTCTTTTACCTTGGAAAAATTGTCTATGCGGAAAGGTGGTGGTAACTGATCTGTGTCACTGAATGCAATGCGGTACGTGGCTCCTTGAAGAGTAATTTCTACTCTTAAGAAGTAACATTTTCCCAGGGTGTCCCTGAACAAGAACAAACAAGTGCAAGAGAGGTAGGCTTCTGATCTGTGTCACCCGGAGTCGTAAGTGTTAAACAGCTGCTTCTATCAAAAATGGAAGCATGCTACAGAAGATTTAGATATAATAGCTACCTCATATTAATATGGAATGAGTTATTTTTGTTGACCTCAAAGCCCCCAGACCAAATGCAGTTTGGGACATCCATTAGTCTCACACACAGTAGTTGATCATAATCGTTACGTGGCCAGTGGAACACGACGCTGGAACCAGGAAGTGTGGAGATATAGCCATCAGGATTGGATGTTCCCTAGTAATAGAAATTGGTAAATACATATCCTATAGGTATTAAAAAAATGCAGTATTAATCTATATACCTCTCATACGAACACAGCAATTATTCTGTTAGGTGGATGCTGGTATTACAATAATGAGAAAGATACTCATAACCAGCCAACAATACCTTCAAGTATCATGTTTGTGTTCTTTTTGCTTAGAAGATGCTGTGACTAACTACAGGTATTGTAATAACAAGTAAAAAAGAAGGAAGCATCTTACCCGACCTCTGGCAAATTCCCGCTGAACAAAGGCAAGCTTGTAGGTTGATTTATTATCTAATAGGTAACGGGGTGCAAATGTTACCATGCACGTATCAATATAACGGCCTCTGCCTTTTTTAACATCAATACCTAGTAATAAAAACAAGTTAAAAATAAAGCTATTATTTACAAGAGAAAACAGAAGACATCTGCCACAATATATTTCACATAACAAAAGTTCTTTTTCTTGGGTTCCTGAGATGCACTGTTTCTGCCATACCACAGCCATACTTTGAAATGTTATTTAAAACTGTAAATGTAATTTTATGCCATCTGTCACCCTCTGTTTCTCAAGTGCTATTTAGAGATCGCAAGCACTGAAGATAAAAAAAACTATTTCCAATCACAAGTAAATCCATGCAAGTAATTATTCCACTTTTAAACATATGAAAAATTCCTCAAAAATCACTGTGGAGTAACTTCCAAACTCTGAAAATCTATCCTGTCGTTTAATTAAAAACTAAAAGCTTCCAAGGAAATTGTACTTTATGTACACTAGGAGCGCAAGAAGACAGAAGCTGCACTCCTCCACATCAACCTACAGAGGCACCACAAAGCAAAAACTACAGAAGCAGCACACAGCTTAACGGTTACAGTATATAGACACTCAAAATAATCACACAGAGTAATGCGGTAGGATTTCAAATGTACTTAGAAGTAACATACAAGGGGAATAAAGACACAGAAAGAACAGTTTGTAAATGCAGTTATTAAATGCTCAATGATGAAATATAAAAAATAGAAATAACTGAAAACTGTTTTTTAAGCTAATGAAACTCAAAATAAAGATGTAAAAATACTTAGAATAGTACTTTTTGTTTAATAATTTTCTCCGAACCCTCAAAAACCTTTAACAACATATGTTTCCCTGCTGTAATTGTTCTGTTTCTGCTGTCACTGACATCATGTCTTACGAAGTTCTACAGTATTTCTCAAATGTTCCTATCAACACATACCAATGTTATAAATGAGGCCTGGCCGGTTTCCATGTTGGATCACTTTAAGGGCTCTGACACCACTACCACCATCCAGGGAGAAACCCTGGCACCAGCCAGGCATACCTTCAGGATGGATTCCTTTTCCAACCCGCATTGTACAACTAAGGGTAAGAAAAGAACACAAAGATTTACTCATTTAAATGAAGGATCAAGTATCAACACAATGCTGATGATCAAACACATACCCAGGTACAAAAAGAACACCTGTGTTTTAACATAAAAGCATTGGAAGCCATGATACATTTTCTGAGTAATTCATTCTGCTTTTCTGCCATAAGCATTTTTAACATATTGGTCAAGATTCAGCGACCATTTCTTCTAAAAGGCTTGGTAATTTTCAGACTGATTAACCACAACATTTGTGCGTCTTTTTTCTTCGAAAAAGAAAACGAAAAAAGTAATATGGAATAAATTTTTGTGATAAATTTAACTGTTGATCATTTGAGCAAAAATCCCAGAATATTTCAGATAAATTTACTTCAAATCGTGTTCTTATTTCTTATTTTCATGGAAAAAGCAAGTTCTCTCCGTGATGCCAAAGTAGCTGAAAGTTTCACATCAGAAACACAACAGCTCTATTGCATTCCTACTTCCCACTAAGTGACTGCTACTACTTCTCTATTAACATTCAAAGTTTAGGATTAGGGGTTTGGAGTGTTTTTAGTGGTAACAAAGTAATTTACACAACTTGGTAAGTCTCATCAAAAAAGTTCTTGATTTTCTTACAAAAGAAGCATGAGTTCAAAACACACAAAACCAAAGCAGCGTGCAGACGCAACAGAATCAGCCAATCAAGGAGTTTTCAGCAGGAAATGTCTAAAGATCCAATATGCTTATTTCAGTATTTAGAAACTTAAAAATGTAATAGATCATCTTAATAGGGACTGACTTTTCCTACATGATATTCATACTAATGTATCAGCGCCCAATCCTCTGTGAATTACTTTCATATTTTGTAAGGTTCCTCCCGTCTCCTCTTCTCGTGGTGTTACTTACAAGTTTGGCTGTTCTTTATCAGCATAACAGAATAGAAGTGGGCTGAGGCTTCTAGCAAGCTCGTGCTCTTCAAACTGACCTGCAGCATCTGTTTTGGCATTATCTTGTCTGAAGATAAGTGGTAACCCTTTAAGTAAACACAAAAAATGGAGTGTCAAACTACACTTCACCTTTGCACAAATTAAAATGAGAATGGTAAAAACTACTTCAAATTAAGGAACAACCTAAAATATTTCACTTGTAATATCAGCCATTAGTCTGCATGCATTTTCCCTCTCATTCTCTAACCTGTTTAACAGCTAGACCCATTAACAGCTACGAGCCACGGAATCTGGTCCATGCAGAAAAGGAGTTCTTGTGGCTCTGAAAGTGCCAATGGATATTAACATAGAATAACTGCAATTTAGACCTGTTGCTGTCTCAAGGCATTTCAGTCTTTGAAAACCACAATTTTAACAGTTATCTGATCTATGATGATTTATTTAGACGTACAATAGCTCATGTTTGAAAATCTGCAATATAGCAACTAAAATGTCTAAGTTACCTGCTGTAACATTCATCAAACAATAGCTGCTGGCACTGTAAAAAAAGAAATTAATAACAAGATTTCTGCAGCTTTAATTCCTCTTAAGTAGTGTTTAAAAGCCCTATTTGGCTAGAAAGCAAATCAAAACACTGCATGAAATCTTTATTTCCCAGTTCATGGTTACAGCCATGAAAGAAAATACTGTAAACTTACCTGTTTTGTTGATTAACCAATATGGTGCTGAAATTAGTATTTTTAGAGAACCTTCAGCACGACATACAATCCTTATGGTCAAATTTAGCAGTCGTTTGTTGACATCATACAATCGCATCCGTACCATATAGTTTTGTGTCCCAGGAGGAATCAACAGCTCTTTGCAGATTGGGAAATTTTCTAGCAATACCCCTACGAAAACAAAAGAAAACAAATGAAAACCAAACATTACCCACACAGAAACACTAGTTTCTGATAAGCATACAGGCTGGTGTTTCATATGGCTTATCTTTCTGAATATTTCATATAGCTTATCCAGATTAACTTTTAAATCTGCCCAGTGTAGTAACCTCAGACCTCATGAAGAAATGCCTCAATTTGAGTCACAAGCAGCAAAAAACATTCTGTAAAGAACACTGCTTAGGGCTAACTACTGCCTTAGGCATCAGAAGTCCAGCCAGTGTTGAATAATTCCATACGTACTCTCAACACAAACTTTTTCTGTCAGAAAGAAAACAGCAAAACCACCCAAAACGCTGGGAACTTATTTGATTTATTCCCTTCTTTATCACTGTTCTCTCCAGTTTCTACTGTTTCCACTCTTGGGAAAACGAGAAAAGAGACGAATAAGGAACAGACCAAGACAGCTGACAGACTTGGGGGAATGATGGCAAGATTAGTATTTTTTTTTGGATGCATGCACTTGGTTATTACCTATAAGAAGCCCTGCAACCCAATGAAATAATCATACAAATGCTTTCCATTTTTTCTTCTTTCCATTCTTGCACGATAGTGCCTTGTACAAGAAACAGTTATATTGAGGTACCCCTCTAGGAGGATCAGAAAGTGGTATCTGAAAAAGAACCTTACCAAGCTCAATGTTCTGAGATGTATCAGCTGTGTGCAATGCTGCCTCTTTGCCAGGTTTTAACGTCCCATTAATTGGCATTCCTTTAACATAGAACTCAAGTTCACAGGGTAGCAAGTTACAGATTACCACCGTTGGCAATAGATAAATAGTATGCCCAGGCTGTCTGAAAATCTGTTTAGCACTGTCAGAAAATATGTTGGAAGGCATGTAATCCGGGTAATTTTCTTTCTTTATAGCCACACAAAACCTGTGAAGGCAACGTATGCGAGAAGAAGTCAATGAACTTGATGGAATAATTGAACCCTGTCTTTGTGTATTGCACTAAATCCCACAACATGCTGTAACTTCAGGACTGATAGCAAAACCAGCATTTAGAATTGTTCTCCATATAATCACTTTGGAGTTTGATTATAAGGGATTTTGTATTTATGCCTACTATAAAGACAACAGGAGTTTCCCGATTTTAATCAAAGAGTTAATTTAATCACTCAAAAAACCCTCATCTGTTCAGAGACCTAACATAAAATTACTTTTACAGTTTACCAACTGTAAAACCAACTTCCATAAACTTGCAGAAACATGTTATCAACTATTATTAAAAAGAGGTTTTAACTATTAAACTATAACTGTGTTCTTAAACTTAAATGCTGAATGTGTCCTTCTTCCCAGTAGATACATCCTTGCTTCGGTCACAAGACACTTCAGTTTTTCATTAGTTAAGGTAAAAAATTGAGTACATAAACCTTCATTTTAAATAATTTGTTAATTTTCCTCCCTCTGATACGTTCAAAACCCGCATATTAAGCGGCAAACTACAGAACTGACAGACAGTGGTAACTATATAGCATGCAAAGGTCATTTCCTGAAACAACTTCCATAATCTCTACTCTAGTATTTCATAAATTGAGAGCATCCCTAAATCCATCATATCAGATAACTACAAAATTCCATTAAGTCCTCACTATGCAGCGACATTTTTGGGCTTAGAACTGAGAACAGGACATTCAGGGAATGAGTATTTGCGAACACACTATGGCAAACCACTCATTATTCTCAGCGAGACAGACGAGATATTTTAACTTAAGTCCACATTCTATTATCTAACCTTTTCTTTTTTACAATAAACATTAATAGTGTGCTTACTTTGTATTCTCGGACATTTGCTAACAGACACTGTCAAAGGGGCTTCAAGGAGCCCTGCAGAAATATAGCAGTTATGCTTCAATGCTTTCTCATTATTCAACAGACCAAACAAAACATCCCATTAAACTGCAAAAGCTTTCATCTCTAAGTATTTTCTTTCCTGTTACTTACTTTCACAGTATTTCATTTACCAGAAAAAGATAACATGGCTTACAGAAAAATAATTAGGTTTTTAATTACCTAAAAAATCGGCTATTTTCAGACTCCATTGAATGACACTCTCGCTTGCTGCTGCATACTTCTGCTGTCTTCTGAACATTAGTCCAATGAATTGGAGCCTTACAGAAAAAGACTCCCATTCCTTTTGGCCTGGCTTGCAAACGCCAAGATGTAAGATGTAATGGAACAGCAAAGGAATCTCCTGGCATAACTGCTGGAAGAACTACAGGTTCTGCAACCAGACAAGAAAATACATATATCAAAACAGGCCCCTTTACTGAAAGCGTAAAATTTTCAAATATTAACTCTCAAATTATGAAGAAACATGTTTTGTTTTAACATAAAACACTAGCTACTTTATGTATGTTTCAAACACCAACCTGTTGATTTAAATCCTACTAACAATCTGGCAGCAGACAAATTTAGGTGTGTAAATCTGAAACTGGCAAAAGACTAAAAACTTGCTGAAATTCAAATTCTTTTTCCTTGGATGCTTTAGTGAAAATACTTATTTCAAAAAGATCTCACTCACTACATTTTGGGTACGTTACCAGCATATCACTACATTTCTAGACTGCACCTTTGCATACTAACACCTGAAACTTTCTAGACTACTGCTAAAAGGTACAACTTGCTACGTACAGGAATAAGATTCAGTCCTTGCAGAGTTTCAGCTTTCCCTGTTTACCTGAACAATAAGCAAAAATCCTACTGGGTTCTCTAGCTCACCTTGCTGATCATTTTCATCTTAACATTACCCATTTTCCCTCCAGGGAGGACTACTTTGTTGTCAACCATTAGAGACAGTGGTGAATCTTCTTGGGGAGGAAGCTAAAGATTCCCCATAGTATGGAAGGAATATACAACGCTTACTGTCAGGAGCAGAAGGACTATCTAGTCTGAGTTCCATTGGTGTTTCCAGCTTGTTCTTCACAATCAAGGCTGAGCGCACTGTTATCACTTTCCGAGCGCTACCTTCCATGGTAACCTCAAATACCACACGAACTGGAGGCAATGAAGAAAACTGGAAGATATTTAAAAGCATTAAAAAGCTCAGGTAATGATTATATCTAGAAGAGGGACACCTCAATTTTTAAGCAGTAACTGCTGGAGTAAAAACTTTGCCAACTGAGTCTGACCACATGCAACACCTAAGTTATATATAGTTTCATAATAATGATTTATAATCCTGTACCTCCTCCTCAAAACACAGTAAAATTAACTATGAAAAAGCAATTCTAAATACTACTAACTCCATTATCTTTTTCAAAACGATGCAAGTTCAAGTAATAGCAATACAGATTCTAGAAGAACACTTTATACACTACTGCACTATTACCTTATTTTATAAATTCACAGAGTTTGAATTCTAAGCCTCATATAATTAACAGTCACTCATCATTCCCATTTGTCAAAACTAAAAAAATAAGGTGGAGCTTTCTTAAAATATTCCTGCCTTCTTCACTCCTACCTGCCCTTCCACTGTAGTGTTTTATCTCCTACGCAAAGTCATTGCCACTTCTATTCTGAAAACCACATTTCATATAGGCTCACATGCTGGAATTCACATACTGAAATTTAAGACTCATTCTTCAAGCAACCATTTACACTGGTGAGAAATGGTAAGTCATGTTAAATATTTGTTCTGATTTGAAAGTTAGTATTGTTTGCTTGACTTTTGTTTCCTTTCTATTGAAAAAGTTCTAGAAGGATGGAAAAGTCAGTTAACTTGTAGAATTATGCTAGTCTTATTTAAGTAGCTTTGCTCTCAAAAAATGAAAATATATACTCACGTAGACTTGTGGATGTATTATATTTGTTCTACTTATTGGGCTTCCAAGCTGGGAGAAAAATAAACAGGAAAGTTAAAGTTGCTCAGCTTTTAAGATATTACACTCAGTTGTAATACAGAACATTACTATAGAAGAATAAACGAAATACTTTCATCACTTTGTGTTTCTGATCTTCAGTACAGCTTGGAAAACATGTCAGAACCATATCAGCAAAACCTGTTTGTAATAGTGCTCTAAAAAGAAATGAAGCTGAAGGAAGAAGGTTTGTTGGGGGAAAAAAAAAAAAAAAAGGAAAAAAGCTACAGAAGACGTGCCTGAACAATAATTCTCATTAATTTGCATCCTCTTCCTTCAAGAATCAAGTTAGAGAAAGAGATGATGCTTTTTATGCTTCAATATGAAAATATCAGAAACAGTTCGAGACTACTGGCTCTTGTCGGTAGTATCATGAAACTAAATTCTAATCCTGTTTTATACCAAAAAGATCTCAACTTCGATTTCTCCAGTGCTCAATATTCAGTAGCTAGTCTCAAAACTTAGCTAGTTTAGAAATCCACAAGATCATTTTCATCAGAGTCTCAACCACCAACTGTCAGCCTGCTGATTATTACAATTGCATTTTTCCTTCATGACAAGTATATTTTGTCTAAGCAGCCACATATTTCAACAATCTCTAGGCTTACAGGAAATTGCCAGTGTTGTTTATTTTAAGTAAATTAAACACATGAAAAGCATTCCTGCAATGGAAGAAATAAAAATAGCTGCTGAAATGCTGTGCTGATTTAAAGCTCAATCTCCATGAGTCCATGACACTGTCACTAATATATTAGTTCTGTCATTGGAAGCTCTGACTGCTAAGCAGAGACTAACTGCTGACTACTCTGTGTTTTCATTATGCATAAAATTACCAGTTAGGAACCCAGCATCTCCAAACTCTCCCAATCCAAGCTAACTGGAAAGAGGACAATCTCATACAGCAGCTGCTTTAAGATCAGAATCTTGCAGATCTCAAATTACATATTCCATTAAAACTAACACTCAAAATCAGAACTTACAGTAGAAGAGGATGAGTTCTTATCTGGTGCAGCATATCGGAAAAACGTTCCAACTTTGTCTACAGATACTGGACTGACTTCTTCCCAGCCATTTACTCTCACTTGCAACTGATGAATTCTTAGATCATGTGTGTTCCTACCAGGTTAGATCAAGTTAAATTACTATTAAGCATTACTATACAGTGTAAATGCCAAACAGTTCAAACCAAGAACATCCTCTGCATTCTGAAAAAAAGAAACTCACTGAAGCATTAAAAAATTAAAAAAAAAAAAAAAAAAGCCTCAAGAGTTTTTCCATTTCATGGATAAAGACAGACCTGCTTTTACATCTGTTCAATTGTTCCACCTTCCCTAATGAAAATACAAAAGTACAACTATGTCATATAAGCAAAAATAAAAGCATGCTATATGTTTGTTAACAAGTTCTTCTAGTTCTTAACACTGATAATACTTATGCTCAACAACCAACACCTCCCCACACCTCCCAAATCCTTTAGAATAAAGGACATATGACTTGTAATTGAGGACCCTAAGTCTTTCTAAAAGCTTATAATGATCCAACTCACATCTAGGAATGGCTGCCACCAATAGCAATACATGCTGCTTACTAGACAACTGATAATTTCACTCTATACATGAGTTTAAATATTTAAAAACAAAACATTAACAAGAGATTTTAAAAAATGTCCACTTTTTAACATCTGCTAGTGTCCTCACAACTATGATCCTATGAGTTCCATATATAAGCATGTCAAAACACATCTCTCAGCCTGGTCCATTCACCTGTGTCTGAGTTTCCCTCTGGCTTCAAATTCAAATGGAATCTCTTCCCCAGTGATAACTTCTTGCCATTCACTGACATTATGGGCATCATCCAGCAATGTCCCGTTTTCCTCAGGAACAACACCAGGACTCCCACTGTGAGACAGTGCAGCCCTGTGAAGAGAATCACATCATTTTACAGACTGACAAAATGACTACTTCAAGTAACAAGTGCTTTTTAGTCTGCCTCAGTCTTTAGAAGTCCTGCACATATACATCAGGAATGCATCTGACCGGTTTTCAAATTCTGTTGGGCCTCTTGGGAAAAAAAACAACCCACACAAAACCTTTTTTTAGTATTAAAACTATCTCACTGTCAAAGAAAAGGCTCTTATCTAAGAAAGACTGGGAGTTGTCTATGTTTCTCTGCAAGAAAACAAAAGCACTGAAAACAGCCAGGTTTGGCTGACATGTTAGAGAAGCCAGACAAGTATTGTCAAAGTGATCCCACAACAGCTTCTTACCGGGTAGGTGTTGTAGTTAGGGTAGCAAACCACAGAGTGCATCCAGTATGATTTCTTAGAGCAAATGGGACAAATGGCTGCCTCCGTTTTGGAGTCTTCATTTCAGCTATAAAAGAGAACAAAGATTTGTCTAAGTGCTTATGAGAGAAGCATTCATCAGATGCTAATGTAGGATGACACACAATGGCTGGAGAACCACAACATGCACTAAATTAAAACAGATTGAAGAAACAGGACAGCAGATTACTTAAAAATTAAAAAAATTTAGTAACTACTACAGAAATGGCACAAAGCAAATAGAAAGTCTTCCCCTACATCAACCCCCCCCAGGAACTGAGCTTAAGCTACATGTTCTTTTGTTTCTTCCTATCAAGTCTTGCAAAATACTATGCCTCCAGTTTATAACTAACATGCAGAAAACCTAAGTAAAAACTCAATCATAATCAGTAACTTTTCACATACATTCTAATGCTCATAAAGTATTAAACACCTAATCACTTACAATTAAGATTTATGATCTATTTAACATAACGAATACAGGATTATCCAGGGACTTTTATCCTCAAAGACTGAACAAGTAGAAATACTTTCCTATACAGGACAAAGCCTACTAAAGCAAAGTATAAATAATAATTTGAATGCAACCCAAGGTAATCTGGATTTGTTAAAATGCTGGGACAGCAAAACCGCACAACAAGAAACTTCACCTACCATGTTTGACTTTTTTCAAGTATGCATTACTAACAAGCACACAAGTGTTACTCTCATCTTCCATACTGCAGTACATCTGTGAAAATACTTACCACATTTGGACAGAAAAAAACCCTGTCAAATTCCAGTAACTTACTTAAAAAAGAAGATAAATGACTGCTACCTAAATACATACATCCTTCTGTACGAGAGAAGTAGAAAGAAGGTGCACACAATAAATCAGCTGCTAAAGAAAAGGTAAGACAGAAATGAAATCTATTCCACAGAATTTATCTGCAGTCACTCCAAAGGCTGACTGCCATCAAGCTCAAGTACTTCATGTTCCAAGACCCATTCATTCCACCGCAAAGTGCCTAACTAAGAATAATTTAAGCACAGGTTTACAGAGGCAAGAAGGGGTAATGCACGGTAGGTAGGTATGTTTTAGAAGGACTTACTGATGATTGCATACAACTTTCTTCCAAATCAATGACAACAAATTCCTATATACCTTACATTGTCAGTGGAAACTTAAATCTGATCTCTCTAAAGCTTACAGAGAAAGTTCTGTCCAATTAAATGGCAAGAAGATTAAATTCTTGAAAATGAAAACCATGACTTTTGCCAACTGCAAATAAAACAGTCTTTTTAGTGTTGAGCTTGACTTTATACAATTTTTTGGCTAGCCCAGGTTCTACAAAATTACAGACCAGAAGCCAAATGAACTTTTTACTCTGGCACTTAATCAATTGCCAATTTATTTTTTGAGACTTTTAAAGAGAATTTTGGGGCCTGATTTTCAAAAGAAAACATACTGTAAAAGTTGCATTTCGAGACTACTACCTGAAAATAAAGACTACCTTTACAAGGAGGGGTTTTTTTTTCAATTCATTAAGTAACTTAGTTGCAACACCCACTAAAAGCCAAGCAATAAATATTCAGAGGTTTTGCTGTTTGATTTTTTCACAAAAAAAACCCATCTTGAAAACTACCTCATAAAAATAAATCCTTCTACCATTTTCTGGTTTTTGGGATTTATTTTTTTTTAACATCTATGAACTGTCTGCAACTACTCAGAGAAAATGTCTCTAAGGGGCCGTCTGAACAGGCCACAGATGTAGATTTATCGAAAGCTTTCTGTCCTCCCATTCAGCAACTTTTCTACAGGGGCAACATATTTATCAAGTGCGCTGTTTTGTCTTCCGTAAGGTAAAAAAATTTAAACAAAATCTTACTTTGAACTGGATGGTTTTGCCCAAACACTGTACTGTCAAATATAAAACAAATTAACAAGGTATTTATTAGGAATGCCTTATTTCCTAAGTCTTATTGAAAACAGATTGCTCCTTCTGAAGGCGTCTTAAGGTTTTAAGTAGCTAAATATACATGCTGAATCAAGTGTTAAGTATGTATACTGAACATACTGTGGATATTTTTAGAATATAAAATAAAATACTGTGATTTTATTACGCTATTTTTAATCACACTCTACTGTCTCTCTAGAAAAGGGACATTGAATAGTCAACAATTCATATAACCTTCCTCAAAAAGACAAGTCCTCCTACTTAGGATTAGTTATTAGTTATACTTCTCCCTTCTTTCCTGAAGGGCCCAGAGACAAACATAAGACAGGTTACTAAGTTAAGCAGCCTGAAAGGAAAGTAGCTGTTGCATTGTTTGGTTTTGGGGTTTTTGTTTGATTGGTTTTTTTTAAATATAGAGGCCAATCTACCAGCAAGTCACATATACAACACAGTATTTATTGTACAAGAGCTTTCCAAAGAAGAAAAAAACCTTTTTGTCGCTCTCTGCTATACAGTACCTCTAGCATAGATTTGATGCTCTAGGTTAGTCAAACTGGCTGTACTCCTAGTTCTAAGGTAGACAAGAGGAAGGCCTGGCAGACAGGAAAGACAAAGTTAGCAGGTAAGAAAAAACACACAAATACAGATAGACTCTTCCCCATCATGCATCAGGGAAGATACAGACAGTTGGCACCATGCAATCAGTGTATGAGTCTCTACCCATTTTTAACACTGTGAGAAAAGAAGCTGAAAAGACCTGCCACATATAGAGAATTGTTTCACAAATGTAACAACCTTTTTTCCAGAAACCCAGTCATGTGGGCCTTTGAGGGTACAGAACGAAAAAGATCACCTCTGAACTGCACACACCCTAAATCTTTGACAGGATATTCACTCATTAACCAAGAAAGCGTGACAAAAAAAGGAAGCAGAACTAGCAGTGCGAAGTTCTCACTCAAAACTAAGTAGCCAGAAAGGTTTTTGTTTTTAAAGAATTGAACACAATTGAACAGAAAACAGCATTTTTGTCTTTTTTGCCAAATATCTCTAATAATTCATTGCATGCTATGAAGACCAAATACTTATGTTTGTAATACATTAGACAGATGACTGTGTATGTCAGGACCAGTTCAAATAAAGTGTGATTAATGAGTATCATACTCTGCCCAAAACACGGTGGATCCACCGAAGAACCCATCCAGTCTTCTGAACTGATTACATTCACTTCTTTCTCTTGTTTACAGTAATCTTCCATCCATGACTGTTTGGTACATGTGTATTGTTCTAGAGGAACAAAAGCACAGACAGTAAATGTCTCCACGGTGGCAGTAAACAAAGTAATTGAAAAGTATGTTAAATTCATAACACTAAAGTTATTCCACTTTAATGGCAAAAGTTTTACTTCACTGCTTTTTCTATGAGCCACTTACAGAAAACAAACAACAGCTCGTGAAATCACAGCAGTGTCTTCAAACCAAATATTTTTATATTCTGAAGTTTTTTTGGTGGTTTTTTTTTGTTTGTTTGGGCTTTTTTTAACTTTCAGTGGAATTCCATGTTCTTAAGATACTCCTGTGGCAATGTAACAGCTCTCCCTGAGGAGGCAATTAACCTTAAATATTTTCATGTTAGAAGCAGTTTCTAATATATTTTTTCTTTTTAAGAGGTACATGCACATTCCTGCATAAATATCAAGACACCAATGGAGTCCCCTGGCACAGTATAAATCATAAACTAGCCTTACTACTTGTTATCACTAGTATTAAAAGCATGATGGGAACTCTTAGGAATCATCGATTTGCTGCTTTTCCTCCCATCCTGGCTCCCTCCTTCTGCCAACCCCACAGGCCTTGCAGGAGAAAGGAACAAATATTCAAGGAACAAGGAAGGCTCTCCTGTTACATTTGCAAGCTCAGCCATTTACAGTTTTTTATTATGACCACCAAATTATTCAGATTTGCATACAGCATAAGCAACAATATTTCTGGGAAATGCACACAAACATAGTCTCACAACACAGAAGTTTACATGAAGTTTGAGTTAATGATGAACAAACTATTTTGACTTCCTGGAGTGGGAATTGACCACTCAGTTTTTCAGAGACTGCAGAACTGAAATAAGTAGCTCCCCACTACACCTGTCAATGTACTGAAAAATGACGAGCTGATCAAAATATTTTTAAGTACTGTAAAGTATGGAAAGCTTTAGATAAAAGCCTGTTTCTGATTAAAAATAAATTTCAAATAACACATGAATTTTATAGAACTCACATGACCAGAGAAAGAATTCCTACTAAGCTCTAAAATATGTAGCTCGTGTCTTTACACTTTCACAATATCTGATAAAATACAGGCTGCGTAAACGCACACCTGTGTACAATATCATGTGAAGTGCGTAGGGACTTGTGCCAAATCTCCCGCCCTCCATCTACGGGACACCAGCAGGACTCAATTAGAAATGTCTGTCATTTTCAGTCCACTGAAAATTAGACTGTATAGTGATGTTCTCAGGGAATATTCCTACATACCTATGAAGACAGAGGTAATGTTTATATCCAAACGGTGTTTAGCCTTTACTTCCAGCTTCAGTCGGGAAGGGTGGAGGCGGCTCGAAGCTTGTTGTTGCCAAGAAACTGAACACGGCCATGGCTCAATAAATGGCTCCCAGCCTGAGAACAAACAGAAAACGTCACATGTATTACACATCTGAAGGCCACATTGGAATTCTGTTTACATACCTACGTATTTAATAATGCAGCTTTAATAATAAGATCCTTTACTTTCAATCTGCATTCAAGATGAACTTGTAAGCCTACAGATTTAATTTTCTAGCTAATACAAAGTTGCTCCAGCTCCGCCATTTGAACCAGTGTATACTGTATGTAGGGTCTTGCAGAAGTATCTTAATTCCAAGGGAAGCATTAGAAGGCAATTACATCTTCATATTGAAGTTAGCTGGAACTAAGTTCTCTGAAATAGTTTTGAAAATTATTTTCACACAATTATACATAAGTTGGTCTACTATTCAGTATCACAAAAGACAAAGGTCTAAAAGCTATTTAAGAAAAATGCCCTACATATTTTTAAAAACAAAACCTACTTTGTTATTGACAGATAATTCCTAAGATTGTTGTCATCAATTTTATAACAGAAAAATTAGTTTCTCAATTCAGAGAAAACACACAACTAGATTATTTCTTTTGTCAGTGTCTGACCTATATTGAGGCATAACTTCTTTTTTATATCTAAAATATAAATTAGGATGGTTATCTTATGTTAATCTATTGTCTTCAGCCTAATCGCCTACCCTCATGTGCTTTTCCTTTCTGAAATAAGTAACAAACTGAATGCATCAAAACAATTAAATACTAAAAAAGAGAAGTGAATACAGAGACAGCTAGTTATGTAACTGTCATGTTCTTGGATAACTTTTTAATGCCATTTTATCTGAAAACTTCAGTGCAACTTTCATATCAGCCATCCCTCTACCTTCCACATCCCTCCATCTGATACCAAATTAGGATATCTTATCTAGGATCACATGTTCTCACACACACACACACAATCACAAAAGTCAGCCTTTCACATTCCCTTATATGCATTTCACGCTGGGTGAATTTCAGACTACTGTAGTAGGCAAGGCTGTTTTCCTAAACTTAAATAAAGAAAACAACAAACCCTCAGTATTTCACCTGAAAGCTCACGATTGTAATAGTCTCCAGAGAGGGTAAAATGAGCGTAGCCTTCAGGGTTGGCTCTCAAATGTTGGAGAAAATTCAAACCTGCAAAAAAAAGTGAATGTTATACTAATGCAAAACAACTACATCTCCTGATTTCGTGAACTGTTAACTAAGCAATGGAAGATTTTGTCTTGTCTTTTAAATTGAAATGGTACAAAAAGGCTATCATAATACTCTTCAAATAACATTTAAAGACAACCATGCTTTACAACATGGAGCCTCCCTAGGGTTCTGCTCAGGACGGATTCCATTTGTTATGTGATGTATAAAGGGGAAACCAGAATCTTAACCCTACAAAGACTGTAATCTTAAAAAACAAAACTTCAAACAAACAAACAAAAACTAAGAAACTAAAAAAACCAAAACCAACAAAACCCCTAAACCAAAACCACACACAACAACCACCACCACCAAAACAGTATCAGTTGAAATTTCACAAGTCCTAAGAAACTAAAGCATGGTGCTGAACATACACAGTAACTGACAATAATTTTATGCAACTCGCTCAGCAAAGCAAGATACTCACGTGAAAAGGTTAACTCAGCAAGGGGAACATCACAGTCCATGCAGTCATCAATAAAGCAAATGCATATACTTTCTGCTTTTACTTCCACTCCAGAGATGAACTGAAAAGGCACAATCCCTTGGCTATCTCGACCAGAAGAGGTCAGGGAAATGGATTTCAAAGGTTCAGCATTCTTAAATAACCAACTTGCTGCTTTTTTCAAGTCACCTTAGATAAAACCAAACAACCAATCAATCATCATCTACTTTCTCAATTAAATGTACTTATTTAAAAAACATACGGAAGCAAACTAATTCCCTCTCTCAAGTGTAGCAAGACATCAACAGTACCTTGAACGTGTTCTGTTTACTAACATAAAGTATGAGAAGATTATACATACAGTAGTATTTCCTAAGAATAAGGAATGGGTTTTGAAGTTTGCAAACCAAGTGGGTACATAATATAAATCTGTATTAATACCACGAAGGACTGTAAATAAGGTGGGAAACATGACAGTGCTAAAGAAAAAGAAACACTTGTGTTAAAGCTTCACCTTCTTTTCACGTATTGCACGTAGAACTGGGTGAAATACATGATTCAAAAAGGGAGAGATGAAAACATATGCTCTGAAGAGAAAGAGATGGATAGTAGCAAGAAATAGGTATACCATAAAAGAAAAGAACCCAACCACCCAAACCCCTAAACAAAAATACACTCAAACGCCCCACATGCGACATGCCAAAAAGCAAGAAGAATCTTTGGGGGTGGGTTCTACACAGTAGTAGAACAGAAAAATGAGAATGCTTAAGGTTATATGCCAACACACAGCCAAAGTAATGAAGAGAAGGAAATAATGCCTGTGCATCAGCTACCTTACAGTCTGAAAGCTTTTACTTAATTGCAAGTTAGGTAAAATGAACAATCTGCAAGGCCAACTAAGAATATTTGAGGTTACCTTGGCAGATCAAAAGAGCTTTACGACAATCTTCCATACTGAATCCCAACTCCTGGAGGCGAGCCAGCTGTACCTCTGTAATTGAACAGTTAACCAATCATAAATCCTTGACAGTTATCTGCTTGTTCTCATTTCTAAAACTGATATATCTGTATGAAAAATGGGGTTTTGTTTGTTTAAGATTGCAACTGTAGAAAAAGCATATGATTCAGCACTGCTTTTGCCAAAAAAACCCTGAAAACCAAACCCCCAACCCATAACATTTACATTCTGGAATATACAGGCTACTTCTACTCTCCTATGGGAAGCCGATGTATTCCACAAATTTCAGCTGGGACTAAATTTTTTGTAAACCAACCCTTCATTCAGAACACAATTATTTATTTACTTTGAACTCCCCACATGACTTTCAAGTGCAGTAGCAGAGAAGAAAGCCTTTTTCACTAGTGCATATTTCCTCATTATTGTCAGCCAGTGGTTCCAACCACACACAATTTTTAGTTTGTAAAAAAGCAATGTCACCAAAACAAAAGATTGCTAGACATGAAGAGATAAGTAGTAATTATGATGGTTTTCATTTCACTATCAGTTTAACGAGTTTGAAGAGGTGGCCTCTCTCCCCCTTTAAAAGTTTACTACCTAAGCAGTACTCCATCATGATGATTTACAATGACAAGCAATGCTAAATAAAACTTACTATGAAACGATGCATTGCCATGCTAAAAGCAGAAAAAACAAAAAAAACCCCTTTTTTTTTTTTTTAATAGTATCATCAGTATAATGCTGTCATCAGATAATTCAAAGCAACAAAGGGTTTTACATGATGAAGATACCAACACCTTCTGTGTTAAGTATATAGTCCAGGTTCACACTGCAGGAACCTCCTTTAGATATAAAACATGGCTTCACTCCAACAGTTAAAAACGTACCAAGAACAGGATCCAACACACGTTTGGATATATCTCTGTTTTCATGTGTCAAGGAGGAAGTCTCATTCACCAGTGCTAAACTGGGAGGATTAGCAGTATTTTCAGCAATCGATACAGTTGAGTCAGGCATAGCTGCACTAGTCTGTTGAGGAATTGACTTTGCAATTGCCAAGAACAGTTGAACATCATTGTAGGACAGTCTGATATCCAGTGCTTGCAACTGAATCTAAATGAAAAATTAAAAAATAGCATTCAGTTACCCTTTTCTACATATTTTTCTTGTATACTTTGGATATTAGCAAAGCTTTTCCCAAAGGAAGACAAAATTTAGTATTAAAATCTAATGACCACAGTTTTTTAAAGCTCCATTAATAAAATTACCAAACTTGTTATTATTTACTAACAATCAAAAGCATTAAAAGCATTTATCGGGGGGGGGGGGGGGGGGGGGGGGGTGTGTGT